GCTGGCCCAGCAGCAGCGGGTGCACAGGGCGCGCCACGACTCCAGCGTCTTGCCAGACCAGACCCACACGCCCGAGGTGATGCCCACGACCAGGCACATGAAGTACTTGAGCATGAAGACCGCATAGTCGGGTCGCCGGGCCTGGTCGGGCTGCAGGTCCCGCAAGCATGGGCAGTTGTGCGTGGCCTCCCAGCGCGGTCGATTGTGCTGCTCGTAGAAGAGGCAGGCGACCACAACCGCGGCTGGCACGGTGTAAAGCACGGTGAAGAGGCCCAGGCGGATCATGAGCTTCTCCAGCTTGTGCGTCTTGGTGGGCCCGCCCTGCTGCTTGATGACTGAGCGAATGCGGAAGAGCGACACGAAGCCCGCCAGCAGGAACATGGTGCCAATGAAGAGGTAGATGACGAGAGGTGCCAACACGAAGCCGCGCAGGTTGTCGAGGCTTTGGTTACCCACGTAGCAGATGCCCGCCACGGGATCGCCGTCCACGGAGCTGAGCGCCAGCACGGCGATGGACTTGACGCTGGGCACGAGCCACGCGGCCAGATGGAAGTACTGCGAGTAGCCGGCGATTGCCTCGTTGCCCCACTTCATGCCTGCGGCCAGAAACCACGTCAGTGACAGAATCACCCACCAGATGGAGCTGGCCATGCCGAAGAAGTAGACGAGCAGGAAGACGACTGTACAAAGCGCTGGGCCGGTGGTCTCGTAGCGCACGTGTTGTTCCACGGCGCCCAGCTCCTCATACTCGCTGCGCCCTCCGGGGCCGCCCGCACCCGCACCCGCGCCCGCAGCTCCCGCGCTCGCCGCCGCCGCTGCGCTGCCGGCAGCCCCCGCGCCGCCCGGGCCAGGCGCGCCGCCGCTGCACGCCACCTTCTCGTGGCCCGCCACTAGGCGCACCAAGTAGCCTACCGACACGAAGAGGTAGCAGGCCGAAAGGAAGATGATGGGCCGCTCAGGGTACTTGAAACGCTCCATGTCAATCAGGAAAGTGGAGACGGTGGCGAAGGTGGACACGAAGCAGAGCACCGACCACAGGCCGATCCAGAAGACGGTGAAGGCGCGCTCGTCTTGGCTGAAAAAAGGGTTGTGGCAGGGCAGCGCGCAGTTGGCGATCTGGCCTGTCTTGACGCGGTTGTACAGAGGGTGCCGCTCACTGGACACGCTCACCATGGGCGCCCGGCACTGGCAGCCCGGCTCGCAGGGCGCCGAGCCGCCGCCAGGGGGCCTTGCCTTCCCGCCGCTGCCGCCGCGCGCAGGGGGCGCCGCCGTGTCTCCACCGCCGTTCTTGCCGCCACGGTGCGGGGGCCTACCCCCTGGCGAACGGCTGTGGCCACTGCCGGTGGGCGGCTGCTCGCCAGGAAGCGGTGGTGGCGGCGGCGGATGGCGGCGCGGCGGGCTGGGAGCGGCGGTGGTGAGGTCGGTGCGGTTGTAGTCCATGCATAGCGTGTCAGGGTTGCCCTGCTCCGGCAGCCGGTCGCAGCGCATGCGGTCGGGCCAGGCGAAACCGTACTGGCGCATGAGCGGCGCGCAGCCGGCCTTGGCGCGCTCGCACACGGAACGGCAGGGCGGCAGCGGCTTCTTGTAGTCTTCCAGGCAGATGGGAGTGTACATGCTGCACAGGAAGAACTTGAGGTCCGGCGAGCACTGGATCTCCACCAGTGGCCAGAACTGGTGCACTTCCAGGCCCGCCTCATCTTGAGTGTCGTGGTTGAACTGGTTGGGCATGTAGGTGTAGTTGTAGCCAATGCCCTTGCACAGGGGCACCGTGATCTCCTGGCATGCTAGCTCCTTGGCCGAGGCGGCCGCCGCGCCGCTGGAGCGCTGCAGCAGCGCAAAGGCGGCTAGCAGCGAGGTCACTTCCAACAGGTAACTCCACTCCATGCTGGGTGCCTCAGCCCTGCGCGCTGCCGCTGCGTTCTAGCCCCTCCAAGCGGCGGGCGTCCCGGGCCCCGGCTAGGAGGTGCGGCGAGGCGCACTTGGAAACCAGAAGAGAGGAAGTAGCCGGCCTCCCTCTTCGGGGGAGGGGAGTCTGCCGAAAGCCCCCGCTCAGGGCAGAGTCCCAGCGGCACGGTCCGGAAGACTGGGCAGGAATCCGTCCAAACCTCCTTTCCGCCGCCTGGCCGGCCTCTCAGGGGAGCCGGGCAGAAAGCGCCGCTCCGCGCTCTTGCCCTTCTCGGGTCGCACAGTGGTTCCGAGGAAATTAGGGAGTGGGCTGCAGGCGAGCACGGTTGTCCCCCTAGGGTCTTCCCCCTGTTTATTTCTGTCCGATTTCAGCTCGCGCAGAATAGAGTTGCTGGCCTCTGGCTCATCTTTCTGCACTTGCTTTCTCGCTCTGCCTCCAAGCTGCGGCCACTTTTCCGCCGCGACTCCCCAGCTGGCGGCGACTTTGCAGAGCACAGAAGGTGGCGGAGCAGCAAGTTTCCTCTCCAGCCCCCGTGATGCAGAGTCAAGATGGCTGAGCCAGGCGCACTCCGAGTCCAGGGTCAACCTTTCCAGCCCGCTCTCTCCCCAAGGGGACACATTCCTACTCCCACAGCCTCGGCCAGCGCCCCGAGTTCGGCGGGGCACCTCGCCTCCGACGAGGCTGCTGCCTCTTCTCCCCGGAGTCCGTCAGTCAGTCCGCCCGCTCGGACAGACAAATCCCGCCTCCGGGTAAAAGTCCGCGCCGTGCTACGGCTTGTAATCAAGCGAGTTGCAGGCAGTTGTCTTCTTGCCGAAAGACAAATCTGAAAAAAAAAAAAAAAACACAACAGAATCCAGACAGAAAGGCAACGCGAAAACACCTGAGCTGATCGGCGCTGGCTGGAGCCGCCGGCGCCGCCACCTCCTCGGCGGGAGCAGCGCCCTTTGCCCAACTTCCCAGTCTCCAGCCCCTGCTAGCTCAGCGCTGCCGGGCTCATGAATATTTATACGGAGTCAACTCAGTCCCCGCCTCCTCACTGTTCAGCCAATCATAGGAAGGAGGGGCGGAGCCTAGTCGCTCCCAAGGCTCAACCTTCTTTAAGGCCGTCCGCATTGTAATTTTTTGAGCCTTCAGGTGCTGTATATTCGACTTTTATAACCTTGGGCTTGACCTGAGAAGCAGAGACTCAGAGCGGCGTCTTTGGGAGCCCACGAAGCCTCTGGGAGCCCATGAATCCCCTGGCTACACCCAGATCCGCCCTCCTCTTGCTTGGTTCTTGGTCCCATTTCCCTGAATTTGCACTTTGGGGACTGGGACCGGGACGTGATTTTTATGCAGCACGCACCTCCCCAGACAGATGTCACACCAATAAACTCTTCCTTCCATTATCTTTTGCCGAATGTGGGATGATTTGTGGGCAGCACTGGTTCAGTGCTCCGTTGCAAGCCGGGGGAGGCGAAGAACCAGCAGCAGATGCGTGCGCGAAGGGCTTTTCCTGGGTGAGGGGTGAGGGAGAGGTGTGTGTGTGTGTGTGTGTGTGTGTGCGCGCGCGCGCGCGCGCTTGCGCTTGTGTCTGTTTGTCTGTCTGTCTAGCTCTCTTGTATGTGGAGGATGCAGAGAGGGGGCTCTAGTTTCTCAGAAGTTAGTCTTTGGCGCCTGGCACTGTCGGGGGGAGTGAGCAACTCAAGTCATTCTGGATGATGCAGGTGGACTGAGTGGGGAGTGGCAGCTGCCCTCCGGCTTGGGACGACCACAGCGCAGGGGCGCAGACAGGGACACGGGTACCAGGCTCGCCTCCTGCCTCCCCTCTGGGGAGGTTATTTTTCATGGCAGAACCTCAGTTTCCTTGCCTGCAAGATGGGGTGGTCAAAATACAGTTCACAAAGGGGGAGGGCGTTCTGGAAATTAGAGGCCGGAAGAACTGTGAAGCATCCAAACCACAATTCCTTAGGTGGAAGAATTCTTCGCTCCTTTAAAAAAGAAAACTTTCAAGGCTGAAGACTCGGTCGCCGTGTTCTCTCTTTCCTTCTCATACTTTTGGACATCTACATCTCTCCAAAGTTCACAGTTTTGCCAAAGTCTCTTTTCCTACCGTCTAATACTACCCCGGGAGCCTTGGAGGCGGGGCTGCGCCCCTGGCGCGGAGCGGCGGACACGGCTCCGTGATTTTCCAGGCCAGGGGCCGAGCCACGGCTGCTTTTAGCTGCCACTTGTGACGCGGCCAATTAGCGCTGCGCGGTCAACTCCGCCAACCACCTTAAGACGAAGCGGGCGGGGCTGCCGCGGAGGGGCCGGCGGCCTGGCAGGTTCATTTACGCTTGTTAGGACGTCCCGGGGGGTTGTCTTTCTCCTAGAATGGAGTGTTTATTTTTTAATTGATGTGCTGTTTCATTTAGCGCTTGTATGGAACTCACGCTGGGGCTGTAATTACTGTAATCTCGGGAACAAGCATTTCGGTTAGCCAGGAGGGTGGCAAAATACAGTCTCTCTCTCTTTTTGTTTCTTAATTTTTTTGTTATTTGTCAGGTTTCCTATCAGGAACAAGTAGAGCAAGAGGACAAAACTTGTGGGGGTCAGGGATGGACAAAGGCCAATTGAAGGTGCATTTGAAGCATTTGGGGATGGGTAGGGATTAAAAACAACTTTTGTCACAAAACAAAAGTATTCAGCAGCATTTGTATATTGCTTGAGCTAATGGGTCAAGGACTGTAGTCTTCGATATGGATTTAAATTCAACATCAAGAAGAGAAAGATTCTCCCCACTGGGCCAATTGGCAGCACTATAATAGATTGAGAAGAGATTGAGGTTGTTAGCAATTACAGCTTGCTCAGATCCACAATCAACACTCTTAATACCAGAAGTCAGCAAATCAAAAGGTGAATTGCATTGGGGAAATCTACTGTCATGGACCTCTCCAGAGTGCTGAAGAGCAACGATGATAGTGTAGATACAAAGGTGCACCTAATCCAGGCCATGGTTTTCTCAATTATTTGTTATGCTTCAGAGAGTTAGACAATGACTAAGGATGACAGAACAATAGATGCCTTTGAGTTGTGGTGCTGGAGAAGAGTCTTTAATGTACCATAGACAGCCAAGAAAAGAAATCGGTCTGTCTTGAAGAGGATGAAACCAAGTCTCTCCTTGGAGGCTAGGATTTTGAAGCCCTGCCTCACTTACTTTGGGCACATGACCAGGAGAGATTGGTCCTTGGAGAAGGACATCATGCAGTCTCTGAAGGGTGGATAAACAGCACAGGAGAGGGATGCCCTGGATGAGATGAGAGGGTGATGAGGGTTGGTGTGTTAGAATTTGTGAGACTGACTCAGGACAGGGAAGGGTTCAGAGCTGCTGTACATAGGGTCACTATGCATAGCAGGTGACTCAACCAGTAAAATTCTGTGACAGGTTTGAAAGCAGAGTGGCAGCCACTTCCTAAACAACTTGCCTCTGGAAACTATGAACTTTGATCAATGTCTATAGTTGTAGAGGGGCTTCAGGACTTTTTTTCATATGGTCACTGAGTTGTGCTCAATTCAAAGGCAATCAACAACAATTGAACCTGCCTCTCCTTCAATTTTCTATATAGCTTGGTTTAGTAACCTCCTTATGTACCATATTCTTAAATGACAGCTTCCTCCCTACCTCCTATCCAAGACCCCAGTTCCCATGCCCTCACCCCATTCACCCCCTCACCCCCTGACTTATCAAGTTCTGCATTTTCACCTAGATTTCTAGGTATACCCACTAAGATATAGTTTGATTCCACTCTCTTAAATTGATGTATAGTTACAACCTCTTTATGTTGGGGAGAAAAAAAATCCTTACTTCCCACTTTTCTTCTGGAAAAACCCACCTACTTAGAAATGAGAAATTCAAAGACTTTGGATATTAGCTGACTCAGTAGAAGAAGACGGGGGGCCCAATTAAATAAAAACGAAGAAGTTTGACCTTTCTTTGGTCTTTCCATTGATTCTCTCACACACCCACACCCACCACCCACCCTGGCCCTGTTCCTCTCTAATTCTGTATTCTCATTTGTGGTATTTTAATTTAAAAAGTCACCTAACCCTATGCTGTTCAAGGACAGCCATCCACCAGAACATTCAGCTTTTGGGTAACAGGTAATTTCTGAAGTCAAAATTCTGTTCTCAGCTGCTTCTCGGTGGTGAAGCAAGAGCCCTTTTAACGACCAGTCTGGGCACTGCATTACCCAGATCCCGGTTGGGAGGTACTAGTTTCCAAAAGCAACACAGATGTTGAAAAGTTTCTACTGCTTTTCTTCAGCCTGAAAATGTCAAATAGTGAGGTCTAGAATTACACTACATAAATTCACTAGAATTAGGTAAAAACAAACTTTGACATTTGAAAATTGAGGCTAAAAAGAGTTGATTTTGGCTCTTAATTGGGATTTTTTTTTTAAATTCTGAGATGAGATGAAAGCTTTGATGATGTGGAAATTTTTGGTTAAGTATATTAAGTTTTCAGGGAAAGAGTAAGTAGATAAAAGTTCAGAGTTTTAAAAATTCATACTATAAGGTATGTAGGGAAACATTGATTTTAATTCACTTAAAAATTGTGAAAATTTCCCTTTTCTAGAGAAAATTAAAATAGCATTAAAAATTACTGTTAAAGTTTTGCTATGTGACTATTTTCCAAGGCAGAAGAGAAACTTAAAGAGTCAAAAGATGTCAATAAATGAGTGTTGGATCAGCTGACAAGACAGAATAATTTATTAACGTAGTGGGTTAAAGCCCCCCTTTTCCCCCATTTGTATGTAAACCAGCTGGTTTTTAAAGAAGTTACATAAATAATGTAGAAAATTTTCTAGAGGGATTTCTGAACAGATGTCTTGTTACCAATAGCCTTTAAGCATAATAATATAAGCAGTTGAAGGCATGAAGTTACCTCAAAGAAGGGTAATGTTTACAAAATATTGGTTACCAATTTAGATACAAGATTATCAACTTAGGTATTTCT